CAGGCACCTGTGCCACGAGCTAGATCCCTAGCCCTCAACACAGGAAACAATAGCAATAATCAACAAGTAGGACTGCACCAAATTAAAAAGTTTCTGCACAGCATGGAGAGCCACGAACAGAGCAAAGAGAACTACCGAAAGGGAGGAAATCTGTGCTCGCTGCTCTTTCAGCAAAGGGCAAATATCTAGAATATATAAAGCACTCAAAAACTAAACCCCAAAAAATTAAAGAGTCCAATCAATAAATAGGCAAATGAATACAAAAAGCAACAAATGCTGGCGAGCATTCTGCACTGCTGGTGGGAGACTGATGGTTGTTCTTGACAGTTATAAACCTTAAAAGGGAGAAAAAATGTACATGGGATACAAGGAAAACAGATCAGCACAAGAAATATTTTTTGCCTGAAGGCTTTCCATGTTAGCCAGTTTGATAATCAGAAAATAATGATGAAAACAACTGGCTGAATTTTCTTGGGTCATCTAAGAAAAGAAACATTGCAGTTATTTAGAGTGCCTTATCCTTTCAGTAAGTGTTGGTGTCCTTCCTGTGTCAGGCTCCATTTTGGGTTGGAGAGATAGGCTGGGTTTCGTCTTTTGGGAATTATTAGATTGGAGAGTATCTTTATTCTCTCCAAGTATCAGTAAAACTTTATATCTTTGTGGATGGAGGAGGGTATTGTAGTTTTCTGGACATTTTTGTTTGTTTTGAGATAGGGTCTCACTATAGTCTAGGCTGGCCTTCGAGTATGTGACCAGGCTAGCCTCAAACTTGTGATCCTCCGTGCTGGGAATATAACTAGTGGTATAAGTGCCTGCCTGGCAAGCACAGGTCCTGCATTCAATTCTGGGTACCAAAAGAAAAAAGAGGAGTAAAACTGTGATCTTCTTGCCTCAGTCTCCTGAGTGCTGGGACTATAAGCATGCACCACCATGCTTGGCTTATACGTTCCATCTTTTACCAAGTTTTCTGCAGTGAACATGTCTTTTTTTTTAAAGTGAGGGGTGGTACACACCTGTAATCCCAGCACTTGGGAGGCTGAGGCAGGAGGATCACTGTGAGTTCGAGGCCAGCCTGGGCTACAGAGTGAGCTCAAGGCCAGCCTGAACTGCATAGCAAAACCCTGTCTTAAAAAGACAAAAATAAAGAATAAAATCAGGGGGAAAGGGGCTGGGGATTTAGCTCAGTGGCAAAACACTTGCCTGGCAAGCGCAAGGTTGTGAGTTCTATTCCTGATACCAGAAGAAAAGACCAAAAAAAACGGGGGAAAATTATTACATAAAACATGATGAGACCCTACCATAGTTGGAGTGGGCAGCTGAGGCACAGGCTGACTCCTGCCATAGCCAGTTCCAGGAACCCACCCACCAGTGCTGCCACCAAGGGTGCAGCGGTGTTCTAGGCATAAGGCCAGGACTGCGGGCCCGAGCCACCAGCCTCCCTGACCACAGCCAGCAGTTGGTGCCTACAGCTGGACCAGACCAGTGATGCAGGAACCAGACCGTGAACTGTCTGGTCAAGGGAGAAGTTTTTACCAAAACTCAGAGAAATAAAAGAAAGGACAAGGCAGCAAGCTTCTCACACACTTTAAAATATCTTCTTTCAAAAAATAAAGCCGGGCGTGGTGGCACACACCTGTAATCCCAGCACTCGGAAGGCTGAGGCAGGAGGAGCGTTGCGAGTTCAAGACCAGCCTGGGCTACAAAGTGAGCTCAAGGCCAGCCTGAACTGCATAGAGAGACCCTGTCTCAAAAAGACAAATTAATTAATTAATTAATTAATTAAAAAATAAAATCAAGAAACACAAGGACTGGGGATATAGCTCAGTGGCCAAGGATATAGCTCAGTGGCACCCTCTAAACCCTGCCTGGCAAGGGTGAGGTCCTGAGTTCAATTCCCAGTTCCAAAAAATAATAAAATAAAATAAAATAAAAATCTTTTTTCATTCATAGTTAAAATATAGTGTTTTTTGGGGATACAGTTAATATTTCACAAAAGTGAACATTAGAGGCCTTACAGCTATTCTTATAAAAAATTTTTTTAAAAAATTTTACTGATTCATGAAATTGCAGAATGTGGAGACATATGGGCTGGATAACTTTGAAATATATTTCAGGGAAACGTATATGTTTCAGTAGAAAACCACGCATTGTCTAAAAAAAGCTGCGTTCTTTTTCCATATAGGACCAGGTAGTATTTTGGACTTTGCAGATGATGTCTACTTACCTGTCTCTACCTGTGTAGTGGGAAGGCGACCACTGACAACATGAAAACGGCAGAATGAGGCTGTCATGGGGCTGGATATTTTTTCTTTTCTTTTTTCTTTTCCTTTTTTCTGGTTTTTTGAGATAGAGTCTCACTTAGATAGTTCAAGCTGGCCTTCAGCTCACGATATAGCCCAGGCTGGCCTCAGACTCACGGTGATCCTCTTGCCTCAGCCTCCCAAGTGCTGGGATTATAAGCATGTACCATCACACTCAGCATAGAGCTAGATTTAACCTTCAAGCAACAGTTTATTGATTCTAGCCTGGCATGGTGGCACACGCCTGTAATGCCCGCACTCAGGAGGCTGAGGCAGGAGGATCGTTGCGAGTTCAAGACCAGCCTGAGCTATAAAGTGAGCTCAAGGCCAGTCAGAACTACACAGGGAGACTCTGTCTCAAAAAAAAAAAAAAAAAAAAAAAAATAGTTTACTGATCCTGGTCATAAATTGACTATTAAAATGACTGCACTATCTGACTATGGGCAATAGTTCACAAGTCTATAAACTGTAGAGAACCAGTGGAGATGCAAAATACCTGTCCTCTGTAACATGCAAATGGGCCCTTGGCTCTGTGTTAGTCTCCTTGGGC